AAAAAAGGTGTAAATACAAAAAAGATAGGCTTAAAAAATATCTTACAAACAAAAAAAGAATCATCCCGGTTCGTTAAACGGTATGCGAAATATACGCATTTGAGGAATTGTTCCAGCCGCAATATTTTCCGGACTTTCTACCATGTTAAGTGTTAGTTAACGGTTTATTTAATCTCTTGGCTTTAATTTTAGTTTCAAACATTAATTGTTTGGTATCGTTGGAAAGGGCATAAAATTATCTAAAACTTTTGTAATGGGTAGTTATTTCATTCTATAAGCGTTTAACAAGTTATGAGGAAAAGTTCAAAAACAATGATATTAAAAACCACGTTTTTTAATATAGTGAGATAAATATTAAGTTTACAACAAAAGTGTAAATACAAAAAACATTTCCTGTAAAATTATCTTTCAAACAAAAAAAGAATCACCCCGATCCGTTAAACGGTTTGCGAAATATACGCATTTAAAAATTTCCGAGCCGCCATCTTGATGACGTCATAGCTCAAAAACGTACCAGGTTCGAACTTGACACCCGAGTGGAAAACACTTCCTAAGACACCTATATTGAAATGCAAAAGCAAAATTCTCTATACACGACATGCACACAGAACGCTAGTCAGGTCCTGGACTATAACTAAAATAGCGAGCTGTGTTAGCGCTAAAACAGCATTGCGGGAGTTGGCGCAAAACATGTTGGAAATTTTAGTATGAAAAGTACGACCTGAACAACCTGGATTTTTTTTTTTTTAGGGAATCCTAAACCGTCGTGCTGTTTTCGTCTGCCTAGTTTCACTGTCAGTGTCTGTCTAGTGTCTACACACAGACAAATAGTTATTGCGATTAAGGTTAAGTCGATACCGGCAATGGCGGCAATAGTTGCTCGCACTGAACTAGAGTTACAACCGAAGGTAGCACTGAATGCGATAATTGAGAGACGTTGACCGCCATAAATTACTTGGGGAATAGTACTTTGGAACTAGGGCATTGCAATTGCCATCAGCCAGTGAGCTGATTGATTCTTCTAGTGGTAACAACATAACAACGTTTTACAGCGTCTCGATTAGTAGTACAGAGTTGCCGTGCCAGTGATACCTCCATTTGGTTGTTTTCAGTCCACGACTATTTCGTTTCGTAAAAAGCAAGAGCGGTTCCCTGATTCCGTTTACTTATGACACTTAGACACGATAAATCACTAAGAGCGCACGATAATTTTGGGCCGGCATGAACTACACCGGTTGTCTGATTCAGAATTTAAACGAACAACTTAACATTGACCATGGCAACTTATATGATGAACTTAATATGAGTTTCCATATGGAATCGGTATCGAGAATCATGAGTAATATTTCAGAACTGGTATCAGGGCCGCCGATTTACCGAATAGGCACGGTAGGCCCGTGCCTAGGGCGCAAGGGCGCTAAACATTTGGAAAATAAAAAAAAATTGGTGGTTGTATTTGCATGCGATCGCGGTAAACTTCTGATAATACCTCGTGGCTGTGTATACATCGTAATCGTCTCCCGCCTTTGCGGCAAGATTCTTAGCATTTTCCACGGTCAGGTCATTTAGACATAATTATCGTCTTCCATTATCGAGGCAATATATGAACATATCCCGCGGTGGTAAGGAGATAATCATCGTCTACCGCAAATGAGGCAAAATAATTCTGATCTTTTCCCACGGTCGTGAGGACATTACCCTCGTCTTGCGCGATCGTGGTCAAATTCTGACCACCCCTCGTGGCCATGAAGACATCATTATATCGTCCCCCGATTGCGGAAAAATGTAATCATTTTGCAAAAAACATGTTGCTTTTTTACATTAACACATTACATTTTTTTACATTTAAACATGTTTGCTTACATTAGCTTTTTATTTTTTCTCCGCTTTGTATAAATAAATGCCTGCATTGGCATAACTTTTCTTAGTGAGAGGTTATGTCTCAATTCATCAAATTTTCAGGAAACAAGAAACAAACGACAAACAAACGAATACTTTTTTTTCTCCAGTTAGACACTGCCTCTTCAATATTTAGAAACCCCTGGTCTATGAACCAGGAGAACAAAGACTTCGGAATGAAGCATTGACTATAAATCAGCAATTTTTTTTTCAAACCATATTAGAATTTTACATTTCTGCTGCCATTATTATGTAGCTTAGATAGGTGCCTGCCACAAACCGCCATGGAATTAGTAGCGCTAGAATATTTATATTTGTAAAAAGAAAAAGAAAAAAAAAATGTAAATTTTGTTTGTTATATTTTTGTGAATCAATTGGACTTCGCCGACAAGTTTTGCAAACTTGGCGAGGCCAGATTTTGTATTATCACAAATAAATAAATTTGAATTTGAATTTGAATTTGAATTTCCCGTGGACATATGGAGATAATCGTCTTCCGCGAATTAGGAAAGATTCATGATCTTTTCCCGTGGTCATGTGGACATTATCATCGTCTTGAGCGATTGAGACATAATAGTGATCATCCCCTGCGGCCGTGTAGAAATTATTACTGTATCTCCCACGGTCCTGTAGACATCCTAATCGTCTCCCACGGTTGTGAATACATGGTAATCTTCTCCCGCGTTTGCGGCAAAATGTTAATCATGTCCCGCAGTTGTGTGGAGATCACATCTTCATCTTCCGCAATAGTGGCAAAATTCTTGCTGTTTTCCGCAGTCGTGTGGACATTATCATCACCTTCCGTGATCGTGGCGATATTCTGAGCATCCCTCGCGGCTCTGTAGATATCATCATCTTCTCTGCGATCGCGAAAAATTCTGATCATCCCTCGCGGCCATGTGTAGACATGTTATCGTCTCACACGGTCACAGAAACGTCACTGTCGTCATGCGTGATCACGGTAAATTGAAAACTTTATGTAGAAATACAAAATTCACATATAATCCCCGGTTCAAAATACTCCCGCATGATCTCTGGATTTCTCGGTTGGTGTTGGTGGACACCCTGTTATATATATTGCTAAGGGGCGCTACTATTAGTTGTGCCTAGGGGGCTGACAGGGTCAAAAACAGGCCTGACTGGTATCAAATTGAGAAATTCTGTTATCAGCCTAGCCCTATTGAAATACAATTAATATTCGACGAAGACGTAATTTAAGCCATGACCTTGAGTTTTGAGACCGAGTTTGGCTTTGTTCCAGCTATTCGTAGATTGACATTGCTACTGCTGTGCTGCTACACGTTATTATAGATAGAGCTGGCGGGCGGCGGCGAGTCGGCGTATTCTGTCAGCGATTCTCGAATCTTTTAAATTGTTTATTTAATATACTTTTTAGAACTATGAAACAATATAAATAATAATTTAATTTGGAATAGTAATTAATTATAACCTAATTTTAAATGGTAGGTAGATCATTTAAATATTTGATTCAAACTTCGAACCTATTTAGAAATTTTTGAATCGAATCGAATATCCCGATATTTGACTCGAAAAAGTTTGAAGTTTGAATATTCGCACAACCCTAAACCGAACTACACTCGGCAGAAATGAAATCTCTTTAACTGTACAAATTTTATCATCACATCGGTTTAACCGGAGTAGATCGGCAGGAAGTGGGTGGTACTGAAACAACCGTTCTCTTGGGAAAAATTTGAGACCAGTGATCACGTGTCTAAATACAATGCTCTCCTAAATTTAAGTCAAATACTGTATACAGTATGCATTCAAACGGTCCGTTTAAACGAGTTTTTGGGGACGTCGGTTTAACCGGAAAAACCGCTATCCGGACTGGCCTCGGTCCCGAGGAGTCCGGATAAGAGGGTGTCTACTGTATATTTCATTACTAGGACCTAAAGTGGTATTTTCTGGTGCGTGCCCAAGAACATGTGTGAGGCGAAGCCGAGTATTTGAGATTTATTTTCACGTACGAGGCAAAGCCGAGGAAGGGAATAATAGAGCAAGAGTAGGAAAATAGCTTTCAGTATGAGTTATGAACGATACTTTTCATCATGACGAAAAATACACACATATAGAATAACATTATAGAATATCAGGATTATTAAAATAGTTTTAGTCCACACTTTACCATTGAAAATACACTTCTCAACGTACATATATGGTTTCATGATAATAGATTATTTATTAATAATTACTTCGTCACTTACTTTAATTGACTTAACATTTTAGTTTCTAAACTTTCTGTATTTCTCTTCATATCTTTCCTGTGATTTTTCTGGTGGAAGGTGATTAGTTTCCTCTGAAGCTGTTTTCATAAAATCATCAGGAATGTTAGACATACTTTGAGCAATTTCAAAACACGCACTATGCTAAAAACACAGCAAAACAAACTAAATACTGTTTCTGTATATATTTATTTAGATTATGCAACAATGAAAACAGCTGATTTAAATCATTATAATAAACTGTAACAAAACACTAGTGCACATAGTGTATAAATGGATAACTAATCGAGAGCGAGGGAAAAACTATCAGTTCTTAATTACAACTACTTTCCCATTCAACCAACCAAAATCAGCTCATTATATCAGCTGTTATCGAAAACAGTTACTTTCGGTGCGGTGTGATGAAAAATCAATTTCTTGTATTCACTATATTGGTGAGAATTTCTTTAGTCTTTAGCTAGCGGGCCTAACCAATTTCAAAATAAAACAACAACAAAGTTCAAAAATACAGTTTAGACACATATATTGGACACATATATTTCCTAATGTCTTTACTACACCTCAATTATGAAATACCAATCATCTGTAGGGAAAACTTCATCTATAAAAGATCAGCTGTTAAGAGGGGGATTTTAAGTAAATTTTTGGCATTAGCTACATCTACTCTCTGGCAAATAATGAAAGATGATATAAATTATTCGCAAAAACATTTGTCATCTTGAACTCCAAGAAAATAGATGTTGTAGCAGATCTTGTAACAGGCTCACAAGCTAAAAACAGATTTGTACCTATGAAATGTATTTAATTATTTAAGTAGTTTTTTTTTTAAGAAATGTAAGGGAATTATGTGATTTTTAGGCAACAGCCTAAATAACAAATTGAAGGCTCTACAAACTGGTGTGGATTTCTTGTTAAGTTGCCGTCCTGTATTGGAGTCTATTATGGAAATGCACAAAATGGAAGAACTGAAAACAGAAAAAATGAACGAATCAGCCGAAGGTAAAGTAATGATTTTTTTAAACTGGTGATAGTAGTTTGTTTAATTTAGTCATATTTTTAAATTTTCACTAGGCTAGTTTTTGTTGTACTTTTTTTAAAGCCAAATATTTTTGGTGATTGAAGTGTTCATCACCTGGGTCTATGTGGATTATCGTTGTTTTAACTGTCCCCAGCTCCTGTAATGTATATGCCATATCTGATGATTACTTAAGATGAAAACCTATAAGGTTTCTTATCTTCTCTTTGCTACATTCCTCCTTCAAAATTGTTTACCAGTACAAAGGAGTACCAGCCATATAATCCATAGGGTTTTGTCATTGACTGAGTCTAATTCACTACCAGATGTTTTGCCCATACGTTACAACATAGATACAGATATCCTCAGTAATTAGGTTCAGCCTGGATATCAAGAATGCCACCTCACAGCAAAGGCTGTTAATTCTAATGTATAAAGAAACTTTGCTCTACACCTTGATCAGCTATCTCCTAAGTAATTGTTTGTCTCAACCTTAAGCTATGTTTTATGTCCTGGCTCAATGATTTGCTCCTCCCACCCAAGCTAGTTCTACTTGTGTCCATATATACTTGGAAGCACAGTCTTTATTTATTAAACCAGTACCTATACAAACACCTTGGTAATTTGTAGTTTCTTTTCAGGTGAAGCAGCCAAAAATGGAGATGAACAATTTATTATCAATGAGCAAGAAAATCTTCTCATTATATATGAGGCACGGCTTCAATATATCTTAAAGTCCCTTGTTATGCTTTGTGCTTCAAGCTCCAATCAGAGGTATGTCTTACTTACTTACTTGAAATACTTGTCTTCTACATCGTTGACCGACATGTCGGATAGATTGCGTCATGTTACTATTTACATAAAAACACTAAAAAATATCTACATATACTTTTACTTCTACTTTTGTGGCGGACGTGTCACGTTAAAAAAGGGGTTCACTTTCCAACTCATGCAAGGCGTACAATGGCCTATTTAGCAGTCCATCACGAATCGCCCTCTTAAAGTCTGGCAGGTCCATGTCACGCACTCGCTTAGGCAAGGTGTTGAAGACCCTAATTGCCGAACGCGGGTAACTCCTCATTGTCTGTGCAAGTCGGCACCGAGGCATGTCAAGGTCTGGGGCTCTGCAGGTATTGTGAGTGTGGACCTCCTCCCTCCTGCCAAAGAGTCCCACCTTGTCTTTGAGTAGTACAAGGATGTCGAGGATATACTGGCTGAATACAGTGAGCACCCTATGCCGGATGAATATAGGGCGGTAGTGCTGCTTGTAGCCAGCAGATGACACTATCCTCATGGCTTTCTTCTGGAGCAGTAGGATGTCATGGGCTGCTGTAGAATGGCCCCATAGGACAAGGCCGTACGACACATGGCTGTGGAAGAGGGCGTGATAGACCATCAGCAGAGAGGGTTGACTTAAAGTAGGACAAAGTCTTCTTAGTAGGTAAGTAACTCTAGATAGTCTAACACATACCTTGTCTATGTGATGCTTCCAATTTAACCTGGGGTCGAGCCAGAAGCCCAGGAGTTTTACAGCCTCATCTTCCACAACAGGTTTGAGGGTACACAGGATGGTCTGTGTCTTGTCCTCATTCACCTTGAGCCTATTGACGGCAAACCAGCTCTTCGCTTCTTCCAGTAGGACAGTAGCTTCTCCACGGAGATCCTCTAGGTCTTTCCCTCTAGAGAACAGAGTAGTATCATCAGCAAACAGTAGAGTACGGTTGTTAAGTGAGAGGTCATTGATCATGATAGTGAAGAGCACCGGCCCCAGCACCGAGCCCTGCGGCACGCCGTGAGGTATGCTGCCAACGCTGGAAGAGGCACCTCTCAGAGTGACATACTGTTTGCGGTCACTCAGGTATTCAGTCAGTGAGCCAAGGACTGCGCCACCCACCCCATACCTACTCAGTTTAGCTAGAAGGATTTTGTGGTTTACGACATCGAATGCCTTGCTCAAGTCACACAAACTTAGCAGGACAGACTCACCCTCCTCAAAAGCACTGGAAATAACGTCAACAAGGCTTAAAAGTGCAGAAGTGGTCGAGTGTTTACCTCTGAATCCGTGTTGGGCTTCCGTCAGAATGGCATTACCTTCCAAGTAGGCTATTAGTTGTTTCTTCATAACGGTCTCTATCACCTTGGAGAAAGATGGGAGGATAGATATCGGTCTGAAGTTGGACAGGAGTGAAGGGTCCCCTTTCTTGTAGATGGGTATCGTCCGGGCTATTTTTAAATTATCAGGAAACATACCCTTAGGTAGGCAAAGATTAATCAGATCTGTGAGGGGTGGTGCAATTAAGTCTATTACAGATTTTAAGATATTAGTTGAAACTCCATTTACATCTTGACTTGCCGAGGCTTTGAATTTCTTAACGGTAGAGATAATTTCATTGACACTCACCTTCGTCCAGCAGTTAAAGTTGTGCGTTTGGGTGAGATCCTTAACCGAATCCAGGGGGTCTGTCTGCAACACGGGTATATTTGTGATAAGTTCATCTGCTACATTTAAAAAATATATGTTGAAATCATCAGGGGTGGCTAGAACTTCAGGGCCAGGACAAGGAGACCTGCAATCATTCACAATGTCCCATGCAGCCTTGCAAGGGTTGGGAGCGTTGAGGATTTTATCTGTATTAAACTTTCTCTTAGCATCCCTGACCTTAACACCATAGTCACACTTAATTCTACAGTATAGTAAGTAATATCTCTGCCTGATATTGTCATCTGTTGCGCCCTTAAAATGATCATGAACAAGTAGCATGAGCTGTCGTAGCCTACCCAGGTCAGGGGTGTACCAATCCTTTGAACCTTTGGTGCGTTTGTGGTTTTTACCGGGAGAACTAGACATTGGCTTGGGCCGACTAATTTTAGGTGGATATACAACGTTAAATTTATCACAAAAGGTCTCAGTAAAAGCTGCAAAAGCAAGTTTGGGGTCAGAAATTGTTTTCAGGAAGTTCCATTTTATAGCAGATAATTCACTCCTAAGCAAGGGAAGCAGATCCATGTTTATTGTTCGCTTAACAACAGAGTATTTGTCTATCCAGGAGGAGGAAGGGCTTACCTTAGTAGTCTTGACTGTGAGCCTTACCACCTCCGCCTCAATGTCCCAAGAGTTGTAATTGGTTGCTACAGCATCGAGACAAGCCTCCCCTCGTGTTGGAAGCCTCGTGGGAATGTAAAGTCCAAAGAATAGAATAACACCCCCAAAAGTACCTAACAGAGAAAGCAGAAAGTAGATAAATGTGATTGTCAGAATGTTTTTGTGACAAGAATCACCCAAGGGGACCCACCATCAAGTACCTCTTGGTCTCCTACCCATGCATTACGACAATGATTTGAAACGTGAAAGCTTTTGGTTCTACTCAAGGGTCAAGTGAGAAGTAAGTAAAGAATTCAATAAGTGTTTAAACTGACTATTTTATTTGGTAACATTCCAAAACATCATTTCCATTAAACTAGCCGACCCGTGCGAAGCATTCACACTGAATCCTACTCAAATCCCAATTTTTGAGGTACACAACATACAGTTAATTCTGCGTAGTAAGTGCATCTTTGATTTAAGTATGGGTCCTTACTTACATCAGGAATAGAGTCTACATTTTAGAAAATTAACATTTTCAAAATATAATGTTAATTTATTTACGTTTTTACATGTTTACAGGTCCTATTTTGAACACTATGTTTGAAGTAATAATATGGCCATAACAAATTTTTGTTTTGATAGCTTTGTTTTTTGAAAGACATAGTTTTCACTGAAAAAGTGCACCCTTGACAAAGCCACAAAAACTGAATGTGTAAAAAAATAGGGTGTAGCACGTGCAATACTTCTAGAGGTGTGCGGATAGTGAAATTTCAGTTCGGCTTGGATTTGGTTTGGATAGTTAAGGCTCGGTTCGGATCGGATTGGATAATAAGAGGTTCGGATTTGCATAATTTTGGAGTCGGATAGTTTGACGTTCAAGTACTTAAAAAATAAATATTAAGGTTGAAGTAATAATTTGCATTTTTATATACATAAACTACAATATGAATACTGCACTATTGTGATGTTGTAAGTCATTAACCTTGGTTCAGTTATGAAAACTGAAGTTCAAATTCACAGCTCACTCAAACTTCACGAAAAAGTATACCGTAGGGCCTACCTTATATCTTGATGCAAACAATTTATATGGGAAGGCCATGTCTCAGTGTTTGTATCTTGATGCAAACAATTTATATGGCAAGGTCATGTCTCAGTGTTTGTATCTTGATGCAAACAATTTATTCACTAACAAGACTACAAGATCGTGCCACTCATCCTACACTCATCTCTATTCATAATTGGCTTAAAATACCTACTTTGTATGGTCGCCATTCAATAAGAAAGTATTAAAGTATTAAAGTAATATATGATGGCAAGGCCATGTCTTAGTGTTGGTATCTTGATGCAAACAATTTATATGATGGCAAGGCCATGTCTTGGTGTTTTTATCTTGATGCAAACAATTTATATGGCAAGACCATGTCCCAGTGTTTGTATGTTGTTGCAAACAATTTATATGGCAAGACCATGTCCCATTGTTTGTATGTTGTTGCAAACAATTTATATGGCAAGACCATGTCCCATTGTTTGTATGTTGATGCAGACAATTTATATGGCAAGGCCATGTCTCATTGGCCTTACAGTTGTCATATAAGTCCAAAACGTCAAAAACATAATCTATCAAAATAATTTGGATATTTAACGGGTCGAATATCAATTCTGGGCTTTGTTCGGATACGAATATCCGAACCAAACTGAATCCGACCCGATTTTTCGGATATCCGCACACCTCTAAATACTTCCTTCGTCTGTCCATGTACTTTATTGAAAGTCATGGCAAAGGTAACTTTTACAGGAAATTAAGTCTTAGTCAGTTTGAAAGGATTACAGACTATTGCGTAGTATGACAGTTTGACCGGAGCCAGCCAACTTCGCTTTGGTAATGTAGGTGACCAAGTGAGCTACAAACAATGTAAGATCATGCTCAGGTTTCGCATCAACATGATAATAGAGTTCTTTTTAGCATTGGTAACAAATTTGACACAAAATAACCATTTATTGAAACCTGTAGTAAAGAAAAGATAAGAAATGTTATTTAAAGATAGAATTCTTAAATATACATAGTTGGTAGGTATGTCAAAAATGAAGAACATTATATTTCCATTTTATTCCATTTGTTTTATATTTCCATGTCGTAAACAAAGAAATATATAAGGTAAAGTATCCATGTGGTACTTACTTTAGAGTTGTTCTTGTTTAGACTTCTTTAAAGTGAATACTCCGATTTCATGCGGGGTTATTTATCGTAGAAAGCACACACAGCCTAAGTTTTTTTTGTCATCATGGATGAAGTGAAAACAAAACACTCGGATTTGAGACATAAATATTTGTTTGTTTTGATTAATAACCATTAATTTATATTCACATGTTTCAGCTGATCGAATAACGTAAATCAACATATCAACTGTAAATTACTTGCAGAATGATATAACAGAATGATTCTACTAAAAAATACTGAAAAATTAGTGATTTGTATATTTTTCTTGTGTAGTGGGTAAAAAAGCTTTGAAATGACACCACATTTATGAAAATTTGTGAAGAAATAAGGAAGTTATAACATACCGACAAAAAAAGCACTTCAGAAATTATTATACATATATACAGGATGTCCCACGTAAGGTGTCTCAAATTGATTACGGAAAAACGGCTTAACGTACAAGGATGAAATTAAATTAATTCCCTCTAAATCGACCCCGATACAGGTGTGCCAAAAACTGAGGGTAACTAGTTTGAATCTTGGAATTTTCAAATGTAAACATATGTCATGTTATACATAATTTTAAAGGTATTTAGTAGACAAACATTTTGGTGAAAACAGAAATAAATTATCTTCTTACGTTTCAAAATGGCAGCAGTTTTTTTGGGGAAAAATCAATATTTGTTTAATATCTGTGTTTCCTATATTAATGCACTTAGCCCTTCTCCGGTTGAATTTTCTTACTCGTTATGAAATTAGCTTTACTGTGATATGCTACAAGTAAAGTTTTTTTGATATAAAAAAATTCCCAAAAATTTAATTTTAAAAAATTTGAAAATGCCCATTTTTCTAAATTTTCAAATAGCAATATAAGTGGCACATCATTCTATGGGGGTTTTAATTCTTATAAATTTTAAATTTTTTTAAAATTTTCTTTAATTGTTTTAAAACAACTTTTTAATTTAAACTTACTTCTGTGACATAACAGCTGTTGTGTATTAATTATGAGTATTGTTTGTTATGGTTGATGTTTACATTAGTTGAATTTCTTGAAAATAAAATGGACTTTATTAGAAAACTATTTTGTGTGATTCAACTTTATTACTGGTGGCAGCGGTGAAAATATTAAGGTAATATAAAACCATATAGCTATTATTTCATCCTAGAACAACACATTATGGATTTGAAAGCCCTACCACCTATAGATTTGAACAAAAACACTTTTGATGAATGGGCTAGATTCAAGCAAAAGTTCTTTTGTATTTAGAAGCTACTGAGAAATCTAAAAAGCCCGGTAAAACTAAAGTTGCCTTACTCCTTTGTTTAATGGGGATTGATTGTTTGAATATTTTTAATAACTTTAAACTAGAAGATACAGATAGGGGTAATTTAGATAATGTTGTTCAATCTTTTGATGACTACTTTAAGCCAAAAGTCAACACTGTTGTAAAAAGATATGAGTTTTTCAATATGAGACAAAGACCAGAGGAGCCAATTGACACATTTGTAACCCACCTGAAAACTCAGGCAAGAAAATGTCAGTTCGGTGAACAAGAGGATAGTTTAGTTAGGGATTTGCTTATTATTGGAACCAAAGATGTGATGACTAAAGAAAGGCTGCTAATGGAATCTGATTTAAAGCTTGACACAGCTATTCACTACTGTAAGGCTAGGGAAGAGAGTCAAAAACAAGTTAAAAACATGGGAGAAAGTTGTTCTGTTCAAAACTATCACGATCCTCCTAGTCCTGAAATTCATAAGATAGCTAAGAATAATGATTTCAGGCCTGCTAAAAATGAAATTAAGAAGACCTGTTTTAGGTGTAAGACTAGCCATAGTTATAGAAACTGTCCAGCTTGGGGGAAAAGGTGTACCAACTGTAACAAATTAAACCACTTTTCAAAAGCTTGCAAAGAAGCAAGGTTAAATTCTGTAGAATATGAAGAAAATTTTAAAGCCTCTGAAGAAAATTTGATTAGTATAGAAACAATTGTTAGTGTAGATTCCGTGAATTCTTGGACTCATAAGCTTATTGTAAATGGAATAGAAATTTCTTTCAAACTTGACACTGGAGCAGATGTAAATGTTATTCCTTACAAAATTTTTTGGAAAATCTCAACTGGTTCAAACATTAATCCTTCTGGTAAATGCCTTAAGTCTTACAGTGGCCATGATATAAATGTTTTAGGCACATGCTGACTTAATTGTAAACAACAAAAAACCTAATTTTCCTATATCAAATGCATGTTATGTGGGTTTAACACTAAATGAAATGGGGCTAAATGAAAAATATATATAATCTGAAAGAAAGGAGTTTTTTCTGAAGTTGAATCTGCTGATATAAATAATTTTTAGTTACCATAAGCTTGCTACTAATAAAGGGTTTGTAAATATAGCAATTTTTAGCAATACAGTACAGTACAATACAATACTGTATGGGCTATTAATTAACAGCTGTGTCTAAGGAACATGTCGGCCTTAGTCACTAACAAGACTACAAGATCGCGCCACTCATCCTACACTCATCCTTCACTCATATTTGGGTTAAAATACGCACATAGTGGCGTCCCCATCTTAAATAATTGATAATTGATAATTGATAATTGATTCTTAAAAAATCACAAAATTATTACATATTTTTCTCACCACATATAATTTTGAGAAAACAAACTAATAAAATGCCTATAAAACACTCAAAACAGTAATGTAAAAGCTTTTGATGGATTTGAGTCACTTGTTTCCAAGTTAATTATAATTACTGAAGGCTGCAATAGTTTCAACCAATGTATATAAGCCAAGATGATTTGGTCCTTGAAAGGATTACGATTCTAAATTCAATTATCTGTTTTAGTCGCCTATATGTTCATATTACATACAATACAAAAGAATTATGTGAATGAAAAATGAAATAAACTGAGACTTAAAGAACAGTTTTGAAGGATAGATTTAATTGTGATTTATTCATAAATGAACATGATAATAATTATTACCTTAGACAATAGAAAATGTTCTTCATTTACATATTCGTAGAGAGAATAGTACTTGCGTCCTTAATTTAAAATTGAATTAATCATTAAAAGTAATTATTTAAAAGACCTACACTTGTCTGGGGAAACTAGCTAAGAGAATCTTTGTTCCTGGCAAGATTTGGCAAATATTTGATTTTTTTGTTGATGGAAATTTGGCAATTTTGTCCCAATAGTGGAATATGTCAAGAAAGTTTGCATGATACAATTACGCTACGATTGTTTGGGACAATATTTATGTCTCCAAGACCGTGCGAGAGATCATAATGTTATCAGGAAAAATGCTTTAAGAGTTTATCACAATTCCGCCTAGATGGTGATATTTTAAAATAGTTATTGAATCTAAAGCTACAAAGTATGACATTTGATTTTACCAGTATCGAAAATAAAGTTGCCGTTTTTAAAAGTTGTTAGGATAAGTAATCAGATTTAGGCCATCTTTAATTATCATGAACAAGCTCATATTTAAGTGAAGCCACTTTAATGCCACTTCAAAATATAATAGTGCAAACTATTCAAACTGTGTTAGTTTATCACACTGAGTGGAAAAATAAAAGGGCTTTTCCAAAATAGGCCACTTAATATATATGGAAGGTAGTTGACAAATGTATTATTAAGTCTTATTCCATAGAAATTCCTTCTTATTCCATCTTCCTTCAAACATAGAAAGACCTAGCAAAGTCCATTGTTACAGTGACAATGTTATATTTTGTTTAAGGTTTACTGGCTTGTTACCCAAATATAAGGAGATGTACAGTCTAGCCCTGAAGAAGAAGCAAGGAGTCTCTCTAGCCAATCACTTGTGTTGTGCTGTTGTTGCAATGGAGAACCTGCAGGGGGGTAAAGGGCAAACCATAACGTGATGTGATATGTTCTTACAATGTCTTCTTGCAAATGGCAAAAAAAGATTGGAAACCAAATTGAATATAGACAGAGGATAATGTCAATGTGTTACTACAAGTTTCTATTCCTACGTAAATTGATCATTTTATTGTTGATAAGTAAAATAGTAGTAATTTTGTTTTTGGTGTGTATTTTTAACATAATCTTTTATAATTAATATTATTTACTTATTTGTGTTTCTATATTGTTTTCTATACCATGTAACTTTACATCTATCAAAAACTTTCCCATAACCTATAAACTGACACAAAGCCTTAAGCATACACAACTGAGTCCAGTTGATGTATTGTAAATACCAGAGACGTTGAGATACCACCTAATATGCCACCTTCAGATATGTAAATAATTGTTATTAAATCTTCTAGGAGTAAGCTGTTTTATCTTGTTTACTTACTATATCAATATAATATGCTAAGATGTATAAATAATGTTAATTGTACGGGTGTGCGAGTAGTAAATTTATAAGTCCAGTTAAAATAGTAAACTTTGCTCTTTGAGATTTTTAGAGTAAGTTTTTTGTCAAGTGTCATGCGTGATTGATTAAAAAATATCTATGAGACGTAGGAATTGGCTAACTCAGGAACTCGCTAACTCGGTCGTGTGTCGGAACTGGCTAACTCCGGAACTGGCTAACCGTCTCAGTCAGGAATTGGCTAACTCCGGAACCCGCTAACTCGATTTTGTCTCGCGGCGGAATTCGCTAACTCTGGAAGTCGCTAACCCGGCCGCGCCCACTGCACGGAGCGTTGCCAACCTTGTACGACAAAATAATCGTACACTGCCGTATTTCAAAATGTCAGTGTCAATAAAGATACAGTAAATGTTATTGTTTTTTGTTATCAATTCCACTTTTAACAGATAACTAGCCCAAAGTAATTCAAAAGACAATTAAAAAATCATGAAAAAGTGTTTTTTTTATTAAACTGTACAATGGCCAGTTAAATGTTTATGATTTCGATCTTAAATATAAATGCCATCAGTATAAAAGAAAATAATAGGATATGAAAAATATTGAAATTTCAGTTTAATTGGTACTAAATAATTAAACCTCTACGAAACTAAGCTAAAATACACGCAAGTTCTTAAACACGGAAACAGATGTATGTTACATGTTATAAAACCGTTTTTAGATTGTACACCTAAGCCTTCTTTCACACCAGCGCGGTGCGGCACCGTCCCGCACCGTCGATGCGGGGTGACCCGCAAGGCCCTTTCACACTAGCTGCCCGGATCCGGGCGTTTCCAGCCTGAAACTTTGTGCTTTTGGATGTATTTTGTTCAAATAAATAAAAGAAAGATGGTTATGGTACTTGTATCCGAAAATAAAAATACAAATAACTTGCCCCCTTGCCAAATAACTTGCGAAAATCTTTCATTAAATTGTTATTTTATTACGGCAAAAGAATGTTTACTATGCGAAAGTTATGTTTACTATCTGTTTTGGATTTTTTCCGACGTAAACAAACAAATAATTGTTATTCTTTTATCGACTGTTTTAACTGTCAACAACTAAAGTAAACACTAACTTTAAATTGAAGGCATAACCTATAACATTCTACTGTATGAGCTTTGTAATGAAGAAAATAATTATTCTTTGTAGTGCAGCGAAAAGTAACGTTAAAAACACAAGTGAAAGTGGGTCTATAATTATTCTCAACCATTTAAAAAGTGCTCGATGAATCTCGCATTGTCACAAATAATGTAATGACTCACTTTCTACTCTTTTTATGAAATATACTATAACATCTGGGACCATATTTTGATTTCATGGCACTATAGGAGATAAAGTAATTCTGTAGTTCAAATTTCGATATATGGATTTTTATGCACATATTTGTAGGCGGTTTTAGCTTAAACAACCACTTCATTTCCTTCCATATAGAAGAAAATGTAAGTGCTTCTTAAACCAAATGTTTTTATATTAAATAAATCAGGTATGTTTAATCAAATCGTTTGTAAAAATTTTAACATGCAAATGTATGATGGTTTGCTGCAGTGGGGGTCTTGTCCTACACACTGGCCTTCAAACTAAACCAAAATATAAAGCTTGACCAAACTAATCAGCACTATATAAGTTTCAACCTCCATACCAAAAACAACAAACTTCCCTATTAATTAACAAGAGAACTACAAAATCAACCACACTCAACCACTGATAGGCATAGACTGTCAAAACTACTGCTATGTGCGGGCGAAACCAGCCCGTCCCGCGTAAGTGTGAAAGCGTACATAAGAACCCATGATCTAAAAACTATTCGTGCGGTTTCGTCCCGCATTGGAAGTTTAGGTTCGTGCGGGTGATTTTTCAACTCGGACAGAGGTTTAGGTCTGTCCGGGTCAACCCGCACTGGTGTGAAAGCTCCTATATGATTCAATAGTCTAAACACCTTCGTCCGGTGCGGGACGGTCCCGTACCGTGCTGGTGTGAAAGAAGGCTAAGCACCACTAGTAAAAAATAGGAGAAGATATAATATTCATATAATAAAACGTGACACGGTAATTTTAATTCACGATTTTTAATAAACTAATTGACGGATTTTCCTGATTTGAGTGTTGGGTTTCCTTTATATTGCTTTCACAAACGATATAAACTATACCAAGCCATTGCTCGGTTCACCGTTCCCCAGTACTGAGCTACACAATAGACAATAGCTTTGTTTTTGGATAAGATAGAATCAGCCTGGAAAAAAACTCCAGACTTTTAAAAAGTAAGCCTACTGAAAGACATAAAATTAATATTAATTCAACAAAATTAAGAGGATGACCCGGGTTCTACACTAATAGCCTACGATAAAAGAAATTTACAAGTTGTATTTATGCATAGACTAACTTTTAATGCAATCCATGAATACATTAGGCCTACCACTTTATAATGTATTGATAAATATTTATTTAAATTCAATAGCTCTATTTAAAAATACATAACCACTACAATGTAATTCTGTAATGACGTTTAACGTGTAAATTTTATTATGATTTATGATTTAAGGTTACTACAAGCCCAGTATATAAAATACGAACTCAAAAATTTTATTTGCAGAAGTTCACAAAATTGTATTTATTCGAATAAAAGAAACAAATGGCGGACTACGAAAATAGATATTTCATAACATGTAATAGATCCAAATTAAATGTGCATTTTTATCTTTTTCATACCAATAAGCTACTATTTAAGTAAGAAACCCACATATAAAACATACTCCCTTATATTAGTACATTTCTCATCCTTACGGATGATCTGAAGACAGTTGTATTGTTAGTTCTGTCCGGTGTATTGTCTTTAGAGGTCGTGTTTGGTTTACAATTGTTTCTTGTTTTCAGTAATTTAAAACCTCGTTTAACCAAATAAAACGTTCAAATCACAACTAATAACACGTCCCCTAGTTATATAACCAAACAGTAAGGAACAAATCATGAAGTTAACTATAAAATAATAGAAACACAATTTTGTCGACACTAGCGATCAGTGTCACCGGACATGAACTAGACACGAAAAACGAGCTTCAAAGTTTACAATGGGATGTAAAGTTTACTTGTGTTGGTTAGTCTATGGTAAGACTATAATGCATTTTCCACCCTAATAATCATAAGAACTTCTCTGTAGTTAAACATACTTCAAAATATATTTATTTTATCGACTACGTTGCTCTTACTCCTAATTAAGCGTAGGATACGACATTATGGTGCCGATACGATATAGGTAATACACTTTCGGCAACACTGGCCAAAAATATTCGTGCTTGGCTCCCATTGGACGGCCCGCGAGGCTTCTGATTGGGAGTTAGCGAGTTCCGCCGAGGGACCGAGTTAGCGACTTCCGTACGAGGACGGAATTCGCTAACCCGGCTCTAGAGCGGGTTAGCGGGTTCCGGAGTTAGCCAATTCCGAAACCGAACAAGTTAGCGAGTTCCTCTCATCGACCAAATCTGAAGATAGAACATTTAACATGGGGTTAGTGAGTTCCAGAGTTAGCCAATTCCGCGGACCCATATCTATATCCTCACAAAATTATAAAATGAGTATTTTATAGGGTGTACAAAACAGTTTAAAATACAGTTTCAGTTAGTTTTGTATACAAATACTTCATACTTCTTACACTTACAGACACTGCAGGAATAATACTGCTTTGAGTACCTGATGTGCTCTTCAGTGCAAATCATTTATCAAGGTTATAAAACTAAATTATGAATGCTAACACCGGGAATTGAATAAAATTGAATCACTGTACAATGTACAACACAGCCACACATATTTAATGATATTTTTTATTACCTATGTTCTAAAACATCTATAGCATTAATTAAATTGAATTAAATAATTTGTTGAAATAACTAGTCTTTGACCAGTAAACTACACACATTAAAATCTAATACACAATTCAGTATTATTTATTATTACATCCACTGAGTGATTATAGTGTTATGGTTATAATCAGTGATACTTGAGTCTATTCTCATAGCTTACCATGACTGCCATCTTCACTCAAATATCAAATTTCACCAGGACAAGAATTGTCGTTTTTATTGTCATAACTAACTTATTTGCTGCTGCTGTAAAATGAATTCTGTTTGCTGTTGTTTAATTAAACAAAATGGCTGCATGTATTTGTTAGTTTTGGAAAGTAAAACAGTCCACGTTAACTTTATATAAAAAAAATGTTGTTAAAACTTTCAGATTAAAAATGGCGGCAATTTATTTTCCTCTTAAATAACATAAAAAGTACATTGGTAAACAAAACTGCTGTGTTAATGACTTATTTAGACAATTTTATTATGTATCACGGATAGTATAATATGTGTAATATGTAATTTTACACATAACTTTTGAGTTTTTGAAATATTTAACGAGGTATTTTAGTTTGTTTTTGGTCCAGGAATGATACCTTAACAGGTCGGTAGAGAGTTTAGGGACACCCTTTATAAATGCTTCCGGTAAACTCATTAAATAGGTTAACGCTTTAGTTTTCTTAAAAAGCTTGGGTCGAGACGAGTACTGAAACAATCCTCCGAAAATACTTAACCATTCGAGTACTCGCACACTCCTAGTTTATTGTAAAATTTAATTGTTTTCTGTTTTTTCTCATTTGGTGAAATCCATCTTCTCAAATGAAATCCCTATTGTTTATAACCTTAAATTTTTATTGTATATACCTATAACTACCAGTATAGTCGTGTGTTCCTTA